TATTGTTAGAGGCCACTGAGTTGATTTTGACCCATAGCAATCCAATGGGACAGAGTAGAAAAGGCTTCCTAGGCTGTAATCTTTACAGAAGCAGTTTGCCAAGTCTTTATCTCCCAGTCTCAACCTATCAGCTAGTAGTCAATGCTTAACCGTCTACAGCAGCAGGGCACATGCTCACACACACACACACACACACACACAATCTCACACACAGCATACACACACACACAGACACATACACAGGGTTTCAAAAAGTTGGTGGAAAAAGATAACTAAAAGACAATGTCATTTTCCATGAACTTTCTGAAGCCCCTTATGTAGGTGTATGTGTATATATATACGTACCAAAAAAAAATCTTACTAACATGAAGTCAATTCCAACTCCTAGCGGTCTTGTGGAGGGGTTCTGAGACGATAAATCTCTCCGTGACCAGACAGCCACATCTTTCCCCTGAGGAGTGGATGGTTGGTTTGAACTACTGTTACTACAGGTGCCTGTCTCTGAGGCAAACTCACTTTTGTTTGTTTGTTTCCCATAGTTCCAAGGGGCAGGTAGCCGTGGAGTCATCGTGTTTCTTTACAGCCTGCTCTTCTCCAGGACGTTTGAAAGGTAAACACGGTGAATGGGCCCTCAGAAATGTCCCATGGGCTCTGCAGGGTCACAGATGCCATCTGTCTGGTGTTGGGAAGGCAGCTTGATCCCTTATTAGAAGTGAGGGCGCAATGTGTTTTCTCCTAGATGCCCTTTGGCAGCATGCCTTTTTCTGCTCTGGATCTGGTCACGTCATGGGGCGGCCAGCGCACTTGATGGGAACCTTTGCCCCTGCTTTTTGAATATAGAAGTAGGATCCTTCCTGTTGTGGTCGTAAACATGGGCAGTGATAAAGCTGATCTGTGCAATCTCCATGACCATGAAATTATTATCATCCCAAGTCTGTATGATGTCCCCGAAGAAGGAAAGTCCTCGTCTTGGTGTTGCTCATACGACGACCTCACAGAAACTCAGGGCCAGGGGAGAAGCCAGAGGTGTGCACAGAGAGACCTGGCAAGTAGGAGATGGCAGGTGGCGGGCACCCAATGAGATAGAAAGACATGTCAGAGAATCTCCAGGGAGGAAGGGTGCCTCCTGGATAGGGTAGTCTGGGAAGGCTTCATAGAAGAAGTGGATTTTCCTGTAGAACTTGAAGAAAAGGGAAGCTTTTAATAATCACAGAGGGAGCCAGGAGTCTCCCAAAAGTTCATTGCAAGCCCTAACACTGTGCTCCTGCAAGTCACCTTTTATACTCCACCACCCCATTTTTATGTTCTACATTATTATTATTTGCTTAAATATTTCCTTGAAATCAATACACATTTAAATCTCAGTTGCTTCCTAAACTTTGATGTCCTTTAAATTGTACATTTAGTGAACTAAAGTAATATTTTTCCTTATCTGAAGGTAATTTTTAAAAAAGTCTTGCTATGCAATCGGAGCAATCTTTATTAAACAAAAATATAAAACTGCGAAGCGGCTGTGTCTCCACATATCCTCCAGCTATGTCTGGCGGTGATGCCGCTGTCTCTCCAACCCCTTTCTGAAGAATTCTGCTCTCTTCAATTTACACATCAAAACGGCCCTTTGAGCATCCTTAAGGGACTCAAACGGTGTCCCTTTAAAATATCCTTTGAGTTTTGAGTTTTCAAAAAAACTGACGGAGCACAATAAGGGGCATAGGGCAAATGATGTAGGTTTCCTAACAGAATTGAGGAATGAGCAGGCGCGTTGTCGTGATAGAAAGGAAACTCATTGCAGCGCTGCTGGCCTTTGTCCTAAGCAATCCAAAAGTTCTTAAAACCTTCTCCTAAGAATGATGATGGCAACAAATGTACAAATGTGCCTGACACAATTGATGGATGTATGGCTTGTGATGAGAGTTGTACGAGCCCCCAACAAAATGATTTATAGAAAAAAAAACACATTTTTCCTAATAAACCTCCATGATTGTACTGTGCCCTTTGAGAAAATCTATCAAGATGACCCCTTTGAAGCTCTATGTGGATTGAGTCCCCGGGGAATCCCCATGGCCCACAGCTTAGGAAAGTGATCACCTGTAATATGAGACAAAGAGCCTTGTAATGAGGTTCTTAGCACCTGTCCTTAGCTGAGAATATAACACCCGGCCGTTAGAGCTACCTCTGGACCCACTTTCCATTTATCCTGACATTTTCATGCCATTTGCTTTTCCTTGTATCGAGGTCTTTCGTTATTTTATATGATCATTGTTCCTGGATGCATTTGCTTTATTCTTTGTCCTTATTTCATTTCTTTCTTCTCTCTGTCTAGAGAAGCCAGAGTACATGACGCCAGTAACAGAAATAAGAATTACTGGGGGCAAGCAAGAGGAGGGTGGGAGAGACAGGAAGTCTACATCAATGGGTGCAAGAAGGAAGAAAATGTCCCACAATTGATCGTGGGGATGGTCGCACAGTCCTTTTTAATGAGATGGAACTATTGAATTGTATGATGTGTTAATTATAGGTCAATCAAACTAATTTTTTCAATAAAAGATGACCCCTTTGGGGATGCTGACAATTCCCATAACCTTCTGAGCTGATCTCTCAGCCTGGAGTTGAATTTGCCTAGCAGATTCCCTCCGCTTCCTCCCTTTCAACTGGAACGTGGTATCTGGATTTTATTGGTAAATCCAAGGCTCCATCCCTGGTGGTTACTATTGATTCCATAAAAATCATTTTCACCAGCTTTGATTTTGTTTCAAACATTGGTGGGAAGATCCGTTCTTGGAGCTGCCTGGTCTTCACACAACCCTTCCAGCCCCTGTAGAGAAGAAAGCTTGCTAAGGCCAACATGTTCACCTACGATTCAGAATGCTGGACCGTGTGAGATTCCCCACTTCTGCAGCTATCACAAAGGAGCCACAGTGTCATAGTGGTTACACGTTGGGCTGCTAATGGCAAGGTTGGCGGTTCCAAACCACCGGCCAGCTCCAAGGAGAAAGACAAGGCTTTCTACTCCCATAAAGAGTTGCAGTCTCAGAAGCCCACTGGAGCAGTTCTACCCTGTCCACGGCAATGAGTTTCCAGTTTGGAAGCTGTGTTAGTCTGGATAGCCTAGAGAAACAAATTCATAGAGGCTCATATGTGTATGAGAAAGAGCTTTCTATAGAAGAGCAGTTGAATATTGAGAAAACACCCCAGTCCAGTCCAGATCAAGTCCATAAGTCTGATATTAGCCCATATGTCCGATGCCCATCTATAAAGTCCTCTTCAGACTCATGAAACATAGGCAATGATGCCGAATGCAGGACACTCACAGGCCAGTGGGTGCAAAGTCTGTGGATGCAGTAGAAGCATCTCAGCACTGGCAGGGTTTCCACGTGGCTCCTCCGGTTCCCAGGGCACAGGGTCTATCAGCATCGTGCCTTGTGTCTTGTCAGTAGGGCGTCTCCAAAGGAGTCAGCCTTGTCAATCAAGAGTCTCCAAGGGAGTGAGTAGAGAGAGACAGTGTCTCCCATCTCCAAAAAGGAACACAGAACTTCCCAGAATCCTCAGGAGAAGGCCATGCCCACACAGAGGCCTCATTGGCTATAATGCAATTGACAGACTAGACTCCACCCCTTCACTCTTAATCCTCTCAAGTCCCAAATTGACACCAGATGATGTCCCGACCACGATAGCTAATACCTCCGTGGTAATTCTAGGCCTTCTCGACTTCAGCCACAGTGTTTTCATCCCTCGAGGTTGAATGTCTTCCCTCTTGGCTCAGGTTGGCGCTCTTCCCAACCTTCCATAGAATTCTTGGTCCACGTAAAAGCTGTTGTTTTATGTGAGGCAACATTCCTGGACACGCAGGTTCTGTGCTGCATCATCACCTCTGGTTCGGAGCTGATGGTTTTGTCCATTCTGCAGGCTCCAGGAGGACCTGGACATCTCCACCACTCATCTGCTACAGCCCACTGCTGGAGGATTCCTCTGCAGGCAGGTGAGTGGGAAGACCTGGACCTCCTTTCTGTTATAGACCCTAAGTTACGCTTATTCCCCACATACATTTATTTTCGCCTAAAGCAAGATGTCCCTGCGTGGCACTAACAGCTGGCTCTATTGCCACCAAGACGTTGGCTGGCCCAGTCTGCCTTGAGACACCTGGGAAGAAAGACACGAATCTACTTTCAAGAACCAGCCATGGAAAACCCTACAGGCACAGTTCCACTCTGACACCTAGGGAGAGGCAACTAATTTGTTTTCTCCTTAAGCAAAGAGTGATCCAGTTAACTGGAAAGAGTCAAAATAGTCTATTCTCATTTTATTGTCAGAATCAACCTTCCCATTTCTACGACAGCCCTCTCTAGTTTACCTCTGAGAGCTACATGCCTGAGATCCTCGAAGCAGTAGACGACGACAAGACCCACCAGGACACGCTAAGAAAGCATGTTCCTTGGCATCGGGCCCTAAATCACAGCTATGAAACCGAAGTTTTAAAGTAAATATAAATGAAGGAAGGGCAATAAGATCAGAATGGGTTGCACAGGGAGGTTATGGGGTGCATTTCAAGAAAAAAAGTCGATCCATTATTATCTCCACTTTACCAAATATTCATGACTTCTGTTTTTCTATTCTGTTATCTATTATGTGGTTTCATTTATTTTGGTAACAATGCTAAGTATGGTCGTTTTGAATGTTTTTCTAAGAGAAGAGAAGTTTGAATCCTTTTAAAAATATATTATTACTGACCTCTCTTATTGTATATTCTTACCTTCCCCTCTACCCAGGTGACTATGTGCCTATCCTTTAATTAATGATTTACCTTCCCTCCTCCTCCCACCTTTGGTACCCATGAAGAATATTTCTTTTCATGTGAAAACCTTTTTCCGACTTTGGATAACAGTGGCTTCATGTAATATTTTCCTTTTGTGGTTGAAGCCATGGCTCTGTAGCGGCAGTGCATTGGGTTGTTCACCACAAGGTGAACAGTTCAAAGCTACCAGCTGCTCCTCAAGAGAAAGATGAGGCTTTCTACTCCCATAAAAAGCCCCAGTCTTGGAAACCCACAGGGGCAGTTCTATCCTGCCTTATAGGGTTGCTTGAGGTGGAATCAACTTGAGGACAGTGAGGGGTTTTGGGGTTTTTTGTTTCATTGCTTGTTTGTTTCACTCGGCACAATGCCCTCCAGGTTCATCCATGTTAGGAGGTGTATCACAGTTTCATTGTTATTCTTCAACATTTACATTTTGTTCCCTTTTTGCCTAAATTGTAAATATTTGTCTTGAACTAGGCACTCCTGAACTTGATTCTCACTGGAAGGGCAAGTCCAAATGTCTTCAACGGCTGCCAGCAAGGAGGGTCTCCAGAAGGCTTACATGGAGTCCTGGCCCGTGCTGAGGTTGGCTATTTGCAGTGGGGCAAGGACGTCTCAGAGGGGGGCAGGCTCTCCCAGGTGAGTATGTTCTGATTGTACCCACGTCACCAGAATGCCAATGTCGGGGCATATGTGTAACCTCTCTATAATGACCATTCAAGGCTGTGCTTCATTCTTCCTTCACTGGCTTCTTCTTGTTAAATCCTGTCCTACCCACCACATCCATACAGGGAGATGTTAAAGGCACAGATGGAACCAACTGGGTCCACCTAGCTTCATGCTTGATATTATTTATTTTCTTGGACACAAAACATACACAAGTGGAGTCTTTAGAGCAGTATATGAAATAGGCCGGTAAAGGGATATTCGCCTCTCCCAGGCTGTGGGCCCCCTGCTCAGAAGTAAATTCTGCCAGCTGGGGGGCAGAGGGCCCTCTCAATCCTCCATTTATAGAAACAGATGTGTAGCTTCTACATAGGATTCAAACTCACGGGATGAAAAGGGACTGCATTTGAGAAATCCCTCTCAAACAGCTTCCCAGCTCAGGGGCGGGCCTTACGACCTCTAGCAACCAAACAGGGATGCGCGCTGCTGAAACTGCTGAAACGCACAACCCGGGGAACTCACGAAGACGCGATTGTGCAAACAGAGACAGCCAACAGGGCAAGAAAGCAGATGTGCCCACTGGACATCAGGAAGCCAGTGATACTGTCACAAATGTTTCATCCGAGAGCCCAGATGAGGCAAAGCAGACTGTGTGAAAAACAACACTGCAGGGGTGTCCCCTAAATCAATAAAAGAAAGCGCTGCCATCAAGTCAGTTCCAACTCGGAATGACCCTGGTTTCCGAGGCTGTAAATCTTAACAGGAGCAGCAGCTACCACTGACCTTGAGGCTCCAGTTGGGATATAATGTACTCGGGAGGTTTTAATGCCCCAGGTCTCACCATCTCCAACCTCTCTCAACCACAGACCAATGAGGCCCGGGGCTCAGCATGTGCCCTCCTCTTCAGCTCTCCTGGTTCCACCTCCCAGCAGCTGTGCTGTGTTCAGAGCTTCACACGTTAGACCGTGTTTGTATAGCCACAGCTCCTTTTGTCTTTTTTCCTCTGGGTTCTGGCTACAAGGTCTTATTCATGAAATTACCATCTCACAACACATACATAGCAGACCTCTGATGCTCTCAGGAAAATAGTGTCTGACTATAGGATGCATAGCATATTGTGTGTCAAAGGGTGTTTTCAAATTTTACTTATTTCTTGAGTTTATCATTCAGATTGTGTGGCTTTGCTAGGCATCGCTAGAGCGTCAGAGGGGCCTGCTTCACCATGCTCCTACTGACTGGTGTTGCTCCGCCCTGCCATCTGCTGCCTGCTGGCCGACTCTACTTGTCTTGCTTGAGGGCAGATTCTGTTGTCTCCTTCCTTGACCTTGGACCAGCAGCTGGAGTGAGTTGAAGGACCTTTAGTATATTAACTGTCCCAGGAAAGTGAGTTGAGATGAACCCTCTGTACTGCTGTGTGGACTAATTAGCTGTTATATTCCATCTTGCTGTATAAACCTGTCCATATATATATTTATAGGTGTCCTGGTTTTGTTTCTTTAAAGAACTCTGCCTAACACATGTCCTAACCCCTGCCCTGCAAATACAGGACTGATGTGAAGAGCAAGCAAACCTGTCTTCGGACTCCCATTTGAAAGCTAAGACGCTTGTGGAAACCCTTTTCTCTTTTAACTGCATTTTTCCATGAACACTTTGGCGCCTCCTCGGCATCTACTCATTTTAAAAGCTCTGGTTAAGCTCTCTCTTGGAATACAGAGATGAGTCACAGAGGAGTCAGCAGTGCCTACAACATTGCCATAGGGCGGGCCGAGGTAGTAAAGGCTAGAGAGCCGTGAGTTCAGTGCTCAGCGCGGGCTGCAGGTGGAAAATACCTGGAGAATTTTTGATACTGCTGGTGCCTGCGGCTTCCCCGAGGGCAGTGTCGGCTTCACAGGGGTATGACCTGCGCAATTGTATAGGACTCAACACCTAGAAGGCTCTGTGCTTATTGAATGCCCTGCCTGCCACCCTCGTGAAGTTATATATATATATGGATATATATATATCCAAGGGTCCTGCGTTGCCATTTTGCAGTGGGCCCCCCGCCCCAGATTACATTTGCTTATGCATGTATCAAAGGATGTTACAAAGCAACGATGGCACTCGAAGGTCCTACCACAGGAGGGTCTGTTTTACACAGTCTGGGCAGTACCTGAGCATGGGGCTTTATGCATCCCACAGGTAATGCTGATGTAATGGGGCTTTATGCATCCCACAGGTAATGCTGATGTACAGTCAGGATCGGACACCTCTTTTCTGGCGGAGCTTCTCAACCCTGTTATTGCGGACACTTTTTGGCCAGAAAATTATCCTGGCGGGGTGGACTGTTGTGTGCATACTAAGATATTTGCCACATCCCCTCCTCCCCCTCCTCCACCCCCCATCTCCAGTTGTGCAGAAAGTACCCAGACAAAAATTTGCCCTGGCATGTATGTGGGAAGGAGGAGAGAACGGCTAAGCCTTCTCTTGTCCAAAACGACTGCTTGTGAGGAAGGAAAACACAAACTCTCTGGGTTTAGCGGGTGAATCCTGGGGAAACTAGCTATTTAAATGAAACTGGTGGGAAAGAGCTCTCTCTTTTTTTTAAATTAGTGTCAGAAAGACTGGCAGCTTTCTTTGCCTTTGTACCATTTGCAAGATTTGGGGGACAGGTTTTAGACCTTACTATAAATTAAAATTCAATAAGTGTTTGCTAAAGTGTTACTAAGACACTCTGCTAGGGGGGTTGGTGGGGGGACTCTAAGCCAGAAAATACATCACACACATACACAGAGGATTCACAGAGATCCAGGGCTCCCGTTTCCTCTGGCTGACATTTCTTTCTGGTCAGCTCAAACCAAAAGAGCTGCTAAGTCATGCTCTAAGGGAAATTACCTGCAGAGCCTAAGATAGCTTCCAACAATACAGTGAATGTTTACTGGGCCAAGAGGTCATGCATAAGGCAAAAAAAACCCCAAACACAAGAATGTTCCTATGAGGCAGAGGGCCAAATGCAGCAGCCAGCAGGATCTGTCTCCAGGTGCTGGCTCACAGATCGGAAGTAGGGCAAGAGGAGGGGAACGCCCAGGTTAGCTCTAAAAAGCCACACAGGTCTCAAGTCACAATGCCTCGATCTTTCTGGAAAGTGACTGATGCGACCTCCCCTCCTCCCTTCTTGGGCTCAGTGTTCACTCCCCAGGGAGACGCCGGTGAACCCTGCCCTCAGTGAAAGTTGCCTGAAATTGTGCACTAATGGCTCGAAACCAGGAGGATGTTTATTATGTTGTCTCTGTCTTGCACTTGGAGTTGGGTCTCAGAACGAACGTATTAAAGACCAAATACGGACTGGCGGTTAGTTTCCTTCCTTGAACTGCTGAGATTCATGAATACATTGGATGTGCACCTGTTGGAGTGCCAAAAAACAAACTCCGTGCCACCGCGTCAATGCTGACTCATAGCAGCCCTACAGGACAGGATAGAACTGCCCCCTATGAATTTCTGAGCCTGTAGCTCCGTATGGGGGTAGAAAGCCCTGTCTTTTTCTCGGGGAGTGGCTGGTGGTTTTGAACGACGGACCTTTGGACTAGCTGCCCAATGTATAACCACTGCACCAGCAGCACCCGTAAAAACATCAGAGCCATGGACAGCTCACCCCTGACAGACGGACAATGGCTATGCGTGACGTGGATTGGCCATGAATCCACCCTGCTTCTCCCCCTCGCTGTGGTCAGGTCCACTCCAGCTAGTAGCTCTACCCTCCGTTGGGTATCTCAGCCGGACTCTTGGTAGAAGCAGACGGACTCATCTTTCTTCTGTGGAGCAGCTGGGCTACCCTTCCAGTTAGCAGCTCAGCGCTTCACCCTCTGTGACCCAGGCTCCATCTTTCCCACCGAAGGTGAAAACTCCACCAGTGGATAGATGCATACTTCTTACCATCTGTGTCAGTCCGGGTAGACTAGAGAAACAAATCCATAGAAACTCATATGTGTATAAGGGAGAGTTTCATACAAAGGGTAATTGTACATTAAGAAAGCATCGCAATCCAGTCCGGTCCAAGCCCATATGTCTGATATCAGCCCATATGTCTGATACCAATCTATAAAGTCCTCTTCAGACTCACGCAACACAAGCAATGATGCCAAATGCAGGACGATCACAGGCCAGTGGGTAGGAAGCCTTCTGGATCCAGTGGCGTTGTAAGCATCTCAGCGCTGGCAGGGGTCTCTACATGGCTTCTCCAGGGCCATGCTTCTGGCTGCATCAGGGTAGGTCCATGTGGCTTCTCCTCCGGGATGTCTTGCAGGAAGTCAGCCTTGTGTCTTGTCAGTAGAGTATCTCCAAGGGAGTGAGCAGAGAGTCAGAATCTCCCGCCTCCAAGAAGGAAAAATTGAATTCCCAGAATTCTCAGGAGAAGGCCAGGTCCACACAGAGGCCTCATTGACTATCTCCGGATTGACAGGCTAGACTCCACTCCTATAGTCTTAATCCTCAAATTGACACCAGATTATGTAACTACCGCATCATCCCTGAAAGGTTATAATTACAGAAAGTATACTATGAAACTTTATTTATTTACTGAAGGAGTCCTGGTAGCACAGATTAGCAGTTTGAGCTCAGCAACCAGTCCGAGGGAGCACGAGGAAGCTGTCTGCCCCTGCAAAGATGTACATCTGAGAAGCCCTAAGAAGCCATTTGACGCTGTCCCATTAGCGTCGTCATGAGTAGGAACCCACTCCAGGATAGGAACACTGACAACCAATTCACGCAGCCACTTTGCACAGAGCACCTACTATGTGCCAGATCTCGATGTGCGACTGGTCATGATGTTGCATGTACATAAACCTCAACGCCACTCAAAGTTATCATCAGCGTTCGTTGAAGTCCAGGGTCTGCTGACTGGCCGTTCATTTTCGAGATGAGAAAGCCAGGCTGAAAGAGGTGAAGGCACCTGCCTGGAGCCTCCAGCCAGTGGCAGAGCCAAGGCGGTGACCCAGGCT